AATATTCTAAAATTGAACCCAATAATCACCTTGCTTAGGTTTGAAGGGTTCGAGCAGTGCAGGTACATTATGTACTGACCTGTGCCCGGCAAGGAATGGATGCATAAAAGATCCTGGTCTTGGAATATCAGAACTGGTCCTTAATGTTCTCTGAGTCACAAATGGAATCGAAGGTTGATCTGCACCACCAATGCGGCTGCCTGTACCCAAAGAAGAGGAATGGTGCTCCCAATTTTGATAATGTACATCCATGGCAGGGAAAGCATAAGAACCAGGAATATCACTTTGAGCTGATGGGCCACTCCAGTGATTACTAAAATTAGATCCATCTGAAACACTTCCACTGGAGGTTGATGGAGGGTGAACTGGTCCAATGTAGGCAATATACGGGCAAGGATGGGTAGCAGATGATACAGCTGTTTGTTCAGCAAATATTGTATGCTGTCCAAGATGATCCTGATCTATGAAACATAAAATAACTCCAATTATCATTGAAAATTGATGTAAACATAAGAAGTTTAAACAGAGACGAAAATCTTACATGCATTTGATGAAAATTCTCCTTCACTGTGAAGATAAGAGGAAAAAAGAAATGGAAAATGAAGCATTGTCAGAGGAATATATAGTATTTGTACAGAAGATAAACTAAGAGCAAAAATAAGAAAAATAATACCAGAAGAAAATTTTAAAACCCCAAGATTCTAGCCAACAGCCTTCCACCCTTTTTAAGGTAATATTCTAATATAACCACACATTGCACCAAATCCTAAGCAGCTCAAAAACATATATTTGAAATTCTCTAATATGTACACAACATGGAATATTTTTCACAGATATACGGCGACTAACTCAGGCTTTAAGCTTCACTAGAATAACATTTAAGCTTGGTTTTATTACTTCCTAATCACTAGTCCAGAGGGGCAAAATAACGAAGTAAAGACCTTAAAAATTCAGCCACGTATGGAATATGCAGCATTAAAACTGACACAAACTGCTCTTACTCAAAACTCAACGGAAATGCTATACAAGCCATTAATTAAACTCACAGCAAAGCTTCCTGATTAATAGAAAGTTCAGCTGTTTGAAGTAGTTCATTACATAGATGATTCAAGACCCAAAAAGCTCTATCTTTGAAGCCTTAAAAGGTCGTTTATACTATGGGTCATCAGAAAACCTCAAGAGTCAAGACAAGTTGAATCTCATTCAGATCCCATGCATTTCACTTACTTTAGACTGAAGAGGAGTATCAAAGCTATTCTGGAATAAAAAACACACAGTAATTATTAATAAATAATATCACATAACAGCCCCTATGTTAATGGAACAAAATTGACCACTTCATGAACCTTAAAGAAATCCATGTCTCTATGACTTGCGAGAACATGAAATGAAAGCAGGTATATAACAAGTTTAACAATGAACACATATTGTGCCGTTTAGCAGGCTTCAGATTAACAAAATTAGAAACAATTATAAGGCAAATGGTTCAATAATTTTGAATGCATACTTTCTTGACAAGTACAAGATTTCTTTCCAAGTAAAAGACAACGAGATTACTCCTATAAAAGATATAAAAATATTTTGCATACAGTAATTACCAGCAATGATGTATCTTAAAGCCAAAGATAGTTGCAAAGGATATAAATTGTGGATAGAAAATTGTTGTCAGGCAGCAGTAATAACCAAGTACCACAAACAGAGTAAACACCAATAACATTATGCCAAATTTCCATGGTAGAGAAGTTTCCACAATTGTCTTTTGGGTACAGGACGGAAAAATGGAAAACATCAATGAGAACAACTCAGGAATCAGAAGGGTACAAAAGGGATCATTAATGTCCAAACAACAGAACGGAACTTAAGCCAACAATTATATAAACTTAAACTGAAGTACAAAAAATGCACCCATAAGGTAAAATGATGCTTACTCAAAAGATGAAGGGAACCTTGTCAACCCACTGACTGGACACCAATGAACTCCGAATGACTGTCAAAACCATTCATCAAGTTTGAAAATCAAAATTAGTCAGTAAAATCTCATCAGCTCCAATATTTCAGCTTTTGCAGTATGTAAATTCCTACATGAGAACATTAAAATTCAGAAAAAGCATTTTGTATAAACAGGAAACAACATTGTAAATGGCACACATTCAGTAATGCCTTTGTGAACATACAGTAGCAAACGCAAGTATTTTAAATCTCTAGTCACTCATTCGAGGACTCGGTCATAAGGCAAAAGTCAACCCATTCTTACGAGGCCAAGATGAGTAACATTTAAGCATAGATATACATGTATGCACATAGTCAGCCATATTAGTCACATTTCGGGCATTTTCCCTACAGAAAGAACAAGACGTGCTAATGCAATAATTTATATAAATTCACTCCACAGAGGATTCAATTATGTACAGCACATATAAGGCTTCGCTTAACCCCTCCTGAGGCTGACAAGACATGTGATTACATATACATATAACCATGCACAAACACGTGGCCACTGCCTAAAACCACAGCCAACAGAAGATAATATGCCACTATCAACATCAAAACTAAAACTCTTACAACTATAGTCTTCAGAAATAATATATTCCAAGGACCAGTTCAAAAGGCCTCCTCATAAAAGTTTGGTCAATAGATCTTTTCAACTGGAGACAATATAAGCACCCCTCAATTTTGAATCCAAACAACCAAAATGAACAGCATAATTACCATTCACTTGTCACCAAAACCATCTTCTGCATAATCGAAACTTGTTTCCGAAGCAACCACCATCAAAATTAGATGTTCTACTAAGTTTAGTTAGAAGATGGGTCAAGCGAGCGAATATTCATTGTTGCTATTGATTTGCACGATAGGGTAAATTAAAATACTTAGAGACATCCATCGTGGTCATGTAGGGGCATGTAATTGTATTCACTCAGACTTGCAATGGTATTATGTAGAAAAGTGGCTTTATCCATTCATTGATGGTTTCACATGGGGAACGTGCGAAAAGCGGCCCCACCTTTACCTGATGATGATCAATTTTGAACTAGAACTTACATAATCGGTACTGGGTAGTAGTGGTGTAACGACTTAACTTCTATGCCTATGTCATTAAATTACGCACTATCCGTTGTGGCTTACTTAAGGGAAAGGTCATAAGTTCGAATTTTGGGAGAAATCCGTAAGGGGTAGGATGGATTTAAGCTCTCCCATAGCAGACAATACGTAAGTAAACGACTTACGTATAGAGGCTGGATCGTTACAAAAAAAGCACGTTTTTTGCAACGTCTCGATCTCTGTGTCCAAATCATTATATCATACGTTCTGTCCGTTCTTCAATTGATATTGTTAGAGACTATTTCCTAGAATAGAAAAGTAAATAGTTTTAGCTTTGTTTAGCCCTAATTCTTATCCTAATATAGAATTAGCTACTTGTTTATATACACCATGTTTTCTATGAATGAAAGGGGAGAAATACCTTGAATATTTACATGGTATTAGAGCACCGCCGCTAGGGATCTGCTCGCCGCCTTTCGCCGTCTAGTATCCCCTCTATTTTCGAGCTTTTCCAGTCACGCTAGGGTTTATGCTCGCACTAGGGTTTCTACCCATCTTTCCAGCGATTTCAGTAAGCGCCGCCAACACCAGGAGGGTCGCCCATCGCCGTTCAGACCTGGCCCGTAGCCGGTTCTGCCGTCCAGCCCATTTTTTTCAGCGAGGTCAGGTTTCTGTTCTATTTTCGGTGACTCCAGCCAGCTCCGCCTGCACCGGAAAAGTCACCCGTCGCCGTTCAGCCTCCACGCCACTGTTCAGCCTCCCATCGCCGTCCAGCACTGATTTTCAGTTGGTTGGGTTTCTCGTTTTCAGTCCAATTATTTGGGAAGTTGGTTGGCTTGTGTTTGGAGCTCTAGGTACTGAGGTTAGCTTGTGTTTGGAGCTCTGGCTACTGAGAATTGCAGATTTCTGGGGTCTTTGGTTGGAGATATATGCTTCAACTTATTTAAAATTTCTAGTCATTGCTCAGGTTCGGGCTCTTCAAGTACTTTGACCCTGTTGTGATATTTTGTTTTATTATTTGCTTGATATTTGATAAATGGAGGATAAGACTTCTGTTGTCGTATCTGATATGATTCCTATGATGTCAAAAATTAC